ATATGTAACTGGTCCGCGGACCACCCGCTCCTCACGGTTGACGTATACTAAGCCTCGTTCCGACAGGTAGCTATGGAGGATGCCCCGGAGATATCCCGGGACACCCTTCCTCTCCAGCGCTCTCCTAATAACGGGCTACGGGAGGGAGTTGAACGCGTTCGCTATGTCGAGTGACACCGCGACCACCACTCACCTCTCCCGTGTGCCCTCCTTCACGCGTTCTCCCAGCCTCCATACAGCGTCAACCGTGGAGCGGTGCTTTCGAAAACCGTATTGTTCGTCCGCGATACGCTCCCCCTCCTCGAGATGGGCATGCAGTCTGCCCACTATAACTCTCTCGAGTAATTTGCCGGCCTCGCTCAACAAACAGATGGGCCTATACGAAGATGGAACCCCATCAGGCTTTCCAGGCTTTTTTATCAAGACCAGCCTGACCTTCTTCCATTGCCGTGGGAAGTACCCCCCCTCCCCTGAGACACTCGGTGAAGCATCTGGCCCACAATGGAGCCAGATGCCTCACCGTGCTCTTGACAACTCCTCCCATAATGCTGTCTGGAACAGGGGCTTTTCCGGTTTTGACCCTGGAGCAAGCCTCCAGGACCTCCACCGGCGTTACCCCCAGGTCGCCGCTCCATTCGACGGCTATTCCCCCCCTTCCCCTGCGGGGACGAGTCCGCAGGGAAAAGCGTTGCCACTATATCTTCTGCAGTCTCAGGGGGAAGCACCTCCAGGACGGACGCGTCTCCCGAGCGCAGTTTCCGGAGGACTACGCGGTACGGTGTGCCCCAGGGATCTCTGTCAAGGTCATCGACCAGCTCTTTCCAAAGGCTAGCTTTGGATCGAGCGATCGCACCCCTCAGATCCCTGCGCCTGTCTCTTAATTCGCCCCAAAGGGCCCTTATCTCGTCCGGAGGCACATTTGCGCGCGACCGCGCTCGCGTGACCCTCCTTCTGCACGCGTTACAGGCGCGGCGTAGCTCCGCAATATCTTCGCTCCACCAGTACGCGCTCGGTCTCTTTGGGAGTCCTCTCCTCGGCATGCTGACGTCCGATATGTCCCACATTGTCCGATCCATAAGTAGGGCTCCTCCGGCGGCGTCTCCGGGGATCTCGCTCCACGTTGAGAAGACCGCCACTGCCTCCATCAGGTCGGAGTCCGCCCTGCTGGCCACCCATCTCGGAAAGGTCCGGAGGGCCGCTCTCCCAATCTCTGGGCCGAGGATGGAGGTCCCCAACCTCATAACCACATAACGGTGATCCGATAGGGACTCCACCTCAGATGCGACCCTCCATTCCGTTATTTTCCTGACAGTCGAGGGCGATGCCATCGTCAGGTCTACCCTCGAGGTTCCTCGGGGGTGTACGCAGGTCGGCTCTGCACCCTCATTAATGACCTGAAGGTCCATGGCGGCAAGCCAATCCAACAGGAGGTCCCCCCTCCTGTTTCGACCCCCTCCGTCCCACGCGAAGGCGCGGGCGTTAAAGTCGCCCGCAATGACAACTGGGCGACCCACCGTACCCGCTAACCTTACCTCCAGTTCTCTCAAATCCCTGAGGAATTCCTCCTCACTGAGACTGGGGGGAAAGTAACACGATACTATCACGGTGTCCCCCTAGTTCACGGCCACGAATCTCTTCCCTCTCCAGAGCATGGTACCCTGGCCTGTGTCCATTGCCAAGTTATGGCGGCCGATGGCGGGCTGTCCGTGGAAGCCAGCCAGCGCCCGTCATCCGGAACCCTGTTGGGTTCGGAGATGGCGACCAGTCCTACCCCCAGCTCACTGCTCACCCTTGCGACCATATCCTGCGATGGCCCAGACCTGTTCACATTGATTTGTGCCAGCCTAGCCATCGCAGGTTTCCATGGCCTCCGCGTCATGCATCCCTTCGCTAGGGGTCGGAGCTTCCCGATCAGCTCCGTCTTGCTGCTCCACCACCGGAACCGCACACGTGTCCTCTCCTCTTGGACTTCGGCCACGTCCATTAAACGGAACGCATTCCGCCGCGGCCGCGCGGTGTCCCGACGGTAGTCCTCGTCCCGCACACACCGGGCATCTCGGAGGCTTCCTGCATCCAGCCGACTTGTGTCCATCACTGCCACCGCACTGGAAACACCAGGTGGAGCGGTCCACCTGGCTCAGGCAATTAGCCCTGGTGTGCCCCACGGCAAAGCAGCGGAAGCACTGAAGCCTCCACTTTGCCAGGGGCACCACCCCAGCCATTGTCCACCCCACCCTTAGTCTCCCTTCACAGGGGGAACCAAATTTTTTTTTTTGTTTTACGTGGGAGGAGAAAATCTTCGTAAACCCCTTCCCGAGGGGGACCCTTTCGGGACACCCA